GACCCCCCTCCTTCAACCCCGCCCAGGACCCGCTGCCCACCGCTGTGTCCCCAGCAGGGCAGTCAAGCCCCAGGCCATGAGTATGTCCACCCTCTCCCGCCCCTTTCTGGGCTCAGGGTTGGGTGGGTTCTCCGGCTGATACAGGATGAGACCCCAGAAACTTCTCCAGTGACAGCAAGCCCATCCCCAGTGGCACCAGGCGTGCTGAGTGTTCTGGCAGGCTATCCGTGGAACACTGCCCCCCCTTTTCGGTGACCCCAACCTGTTTGAGCTCAGCCTGCCCCCCTACCCCGATGCCTCACAGGCTGTCTCTCCGCAGACATTCATCTTCACCGACGGGGACGACCCTGAGCTGCAGCTCCAGGGAGGTGCGTGCCCCCCAAGGCCAGCCCTGCTGGCCTGCCTGAAGGCCTCCTCCAAGATGTCCCTCAGTCCAGTGCCACACGGCCCCCTGCTGTGTGCAGGCGGGTTGTGGGGGGTTGAGGCACCTTCCCAGGGTCACACAACTGGTAGAGAACAGAGTCAGGATCCCCACCTGGCACTGACCCAGTGTCCAGGGCCCACCCTGCCAGCCATGCTCTGCCTCCCTTGCCTCCCTCGGCCACTGGCTGACTTCCCAGGGTACCTGGCTAGAGCCACGTCCCATGAAGAGGTGCCAGTAAAGAACCGTGCCTTCCAGGCCTGCCTCAATCAGGATGGTCTCACCTCAAGTCCTGTTTCCGGGCAAGTTTCTCCTTGTAGGTTTCAACGGTTGTCGTCTGCCTGGACCTCAGAGGTCAGCAGCAGGGTCATCCGAGTGGGGCCACGACAGGTCTACAGTTGTACCCCGCCTTGGAGCCTTGAGCAGGACAGCTGCATTTTGCCCTGACTTCAGTGGGGTGGGCTGGCAGTGGGCCTCGCCCTGGCCTCCATGCTTCTGTGTCCCCACCCGGCAGGCAGCCACGTCGTCAACACCAACTGCTCGGCTGTGCACACCCGCCAGGCTCTGTGCTGCAAGATGTCGGTGGAGTATGACAAGTTCATCGAGTCCAGACGCAAGTACGTGGTGGCCGCGCGCCCATGCCCTTCCCCCAGAGTGCCCAGGGCCGAGGCTGGGCCCACACACCTGGGCCCAGGGTGGAGGCCTCTCCCCCCTGGGCCAGGCCTCGCTCCAGAGACTCCTGCACCTCTCCCAGGTGGTTCTGCCACGTGGACGATGACAACTACGTGAACTCAGAAGGCCTGCTGCAGCTGCTGGCCACCTTCTCACCTAGCCAGGACGTCTACCTGGGGCGGCCCAGCCTGGACCACCCCATCGAGGCTACCGAGCGGGTCCAGGAAGGTGGCACCGTGAGTGCTGGGCCGGGGAGGGGCAGCTGAGAGCATGGAGGCCCCAGCCGGGAAGAGGCAGGTGTCCGATCCACCCAGAGGGGCTTTTCGGGAGCTGGGCCAGTGAGGAGGGGCCGTGGGAGGGGCTGGGGCCACAGGAGACCGCATGGGAGAAGTCTGGGTTCCCCGGCACTCCGAGAGGCCTTCTGTCGCTTGCCTGGGAGCCCTGAAGGGCGGCTTAAGGACAACCCCCGGGGTGTCCAGGCGAGGAGTCAGGGTGGGGAGCCCTGACTGCCAGCCCCCTCCACCCAGGTGACCACCGTCAAGTTCTGGTTCGCTACAGGCGGGGCCGGGTTCTGCCTGAGCCGGGGCCTGGCCCTCAAGATGAGCCCCTGGGCCAGGTGAGTGGGGCAGTGAGAGCACGGGCTGGGGGTACAGAGATAGGGTGGCGCTGACCTGTCCTCCACTGCCCACCCCCAGCCTGGGCAGCTTCATGAGCACCGCCGAGCGCGTGCGGCTGCCGGACGACTGCACGGTGGGCTACATCGTGGAGGGGCTGCTGGGTGCCCGCCTGCTGCACAGCTCCCTTTTCCACTCCCACCTGGAGAACCTGCAGAGGCTGCCGCCCGACTCCGTGCTCCAGCAGGTGGGCCTGCCCGGCCCCTGCCCTCTGCCGGGTCCCATGCGCTCATCCCACTTGGCGCCCAAGTGGGCTCCTGTTTGAGCAAGGACTCAGGGGTGGGTCCCAGCACTCCGGCAAATTTGCCAGGCCCCAGGATCCTGGGTGTAGGGGGCTCCCAGACTCAATGTTGGGGCCCGTTTGCAAAGGGTAGCATCTGGGCTTTCCGAGGCAGGTGGGCCCAGGGCAGCGGTCCTGGGGTGACGGGAGGGAGGATCAGCTTTGGGCAGAGGGTTGCAGAGCCCTCACCCCGACACGTGCGCCAGCCACCTCTCTAGGTGTCTTGCATGCTGGCCGCGGCCCGCGGCCCTCAGCCCACGTCGCCCTCCAGTGCTGCTCCTGAGTCTGCCCTGAGGGCACCGGGTCAGGGGCTCTGGGGAACTGGGAGGCCGAGCAGCCTCTCCCCTGGAGGACACAGCAGGAGACGCTGGCCCGAAGAGAGCGACTCTCCCTCCTCCTCTTCCCCAGGTCACCCTGAGCTATGGGGGCCCTGAGAACCCTCAGAACGTGGTGAACGTGGCCGGAGGCTTCAGCCGGGAGCAGGACCCCACAAGGTGAGGGGCGGGCAGGGGAGGCGTGCTGGCACCAGCCCTCCCTCCCTGCAGCCCTGACCCCCACTTCCCTCCCAGGTTTAAGTCCATCCACTGCCTTCTCTACCCGGACACGGACTGGTGTCCTGCGCGGAAGCAGGATGACCTTGCTTCTCGGTGACCTTCGACCCGTGACCCAAACGTGGCTCTGGCTCTGCCCCCAGTGTGGGTGGGTGACGGCTGCCCAAGAGAGCAGGAACTGCCCGCCCTGGGCTCAGTCAGCTGCCCCAAGTGGCTACGGCCACGGCCTCATCCAGGGGGACACTCGGGCTGGCCTGCCAACTCCTACATGGCCCCTGGCAGGCCTGGCGCCGTGTTCCTGCCCTGGGGTCCACACTTTGCAGCCTGCAGGATGCTCCTCCTCCCAGCCCAGCCCCCACTGTCACCCGAAGGGCCTCCACCCAAGGGTGAGGGGGCCTGGGACGGGGCTGGCTTCCGGTTCCCAGGGCTCCGTCCTGCTCCCCTCCTTGCTGGAGAGGGGACTCCAGGCCGGGGTCTTGGGTGGGGTCTTGCAGCCAAGCAGCGGGGACTGCAGCGGCTGCGCCAGCTGTCCTACCAGGGGGGCCGCCCTCTACATGCCAGGCTCGGAGCCCAGCCAGAGCCGCCCTGCCTCTGAGGGGAGCTGCACACTGGGATGCAGGCCCCTGGCCGGCTGCACTTGGCACAGATCACTCCTAGCCCAGGCATCTCCACTCAGGGGCTGACTCACTGCTCAGTGCTTCCCCATCCCCTCCCCCCACCCCAAGTCCTTAAAACAGCAGGAGCCTCTTGCCTGGGGTCCCCCTGCAGTGAGACATCCCCGTCCTGCCAGCGGACTCACCTTGATGGTACCTTTCCAGGGAGGAGAAACAGACAGGGGAGGCAGTGCCTGCCCCCTGCTCCTGCTCGGCTGCTGCAGCGAGTGAATAAAGGCTTGATTGTTATTCTCTGGTCCTTGTCTTAGTTAACTGGCTACACATGGAAGCTCAGCTCCGGACGGGGCCACACAGCATTCAGCTCCTCCCTGTGAGGCTCTGCCCCGAGACCAGCTCCACCTGGGCAGAGCTGCCTTCCTCCCGGCCTCCCAGCCAGCCTTGAGCTGCCCGCTGGACTCCCCGACATGACCCGGAGCGTACATGGGGGTGGGGAATCCTGCAAAAACGAGGGGAATATGACACACCTCGCTCCAGGAGGCAGACTTCCTGGGTGTTTTCAGAACGCTGTGGCACGTGTGTGTGTCTCACAGGCACAGAAGCGTCCATGAGTGTGTGTGCATACGTTCACAGGTGTTCACGGGTGTTCATGCGTGTGTGTGAACTGCTGTGTAAATGAGTGTACGCTGCTATGTAGGTGGGTATGAATGTGTGCGTGCTGTGCAGAGGAGGGCAGACGTATGTGTCTGTGTGTTTGGGCAGGCCAGCAGTACCCAAACAGGCAGCTTGGGGTCAGCAAAGGCTGGTGGTCGGGCACCGGTCCCTTGGAGAGGTTTCTGGCAGGTCACCGGGGACTGTTCGTGCTCAGCGGCCACTCCCCCTCACGTTCCCAGACGTGGGATGTGCAGCAGCCCCTCGAGACCTAGACATGAGCTGGGCCTCCCAGGCCCCTGCCACGGGGGCGTCCGCAGAGCACAGACTCAGGGCAGCATCACATGGGACCAGACTGCCCCTCCCCAGCTGGGGCAGCCTCAGCCTCCCACCGGGACGGCCAGCCTCAGAGGTGCAGGCTCCCTCCTCACCAGGTCCAGGGGAGCAGTCACCCCCAAGCCCAGCACCCTCCAAGGGGAGACGGAGCCGGCCGGCACCCTGACGCTGCCAGGTCTCCCCCAGTGGGTGGTCCGTCTACTTCTCAGAGAAATGTTTGCTTGATTGCCTCTGAAAAATACACAAGAAATTGGTAAAAGATGTTTGTCCACTTTTACATTTTACAAGTAACAAATATGTTTCATAGTAGACATACAGTAGATGCATAATGAGAAAAAGTTAAAATTCTGTTAATAAGGTTGAAAATGAAGTTGCATGCATTCGGCCCTCCCGCTCACACTTTCTGGACAGCCACTTCCGGAGCGTCACTGAGCAACCAGGCACTGAGCGAGCGCTGGGGGAGGGGTGAGCCCCAAAGCGGGCCAGCCCTCCGGGGGCGGGGCGGGCGGGACGGGGCTGCCGCGGGGCGGGGCCTTTCCTGGGGGGTTGGAAGCACAGTCTGGCCCTGTTATCTGCAGATTCTGTATTTGCAAGCTCACCCTCAAGATAAAATTCATCTGCAACCCCAAAATCAACAGTTGCTTTTCTGGTCACCCTCAGACGTGGGAAGAACGGTGAAAACCTTGGGTCGCCAGATGCGCCCACCCCAGCGGCGGGAGAACCAGGCCAGGCTCTGCCTCAGAGATGCCGGGAGAGGATGCAGACAGCAGGGGGCAGTGCGGAGCAAGCAGGCCGCGCCGGCTCCGGGCCCGCGGGACTGGCTTGAATCCCAGCTGTGTACCTCTGGGTGGGGCAGCCTCCGGCAGGTCGCTTCACACCTCCGAACCTCCCCGTCTCTTTTGTGAAACAGGGGAAACAGAGTCTACAGGGATGAGTTGCTTGTAGGGTTCGAGATCATAATCTCGGCGAAGTGTGTGTGTGTGTGTGTATTTCCCCAAGAGCAAGGGCCCAGCATTACGTCATTCAGTATTCGTAGCGACTTCGTACTTCCGCCAATAATGGGAATTAATGATGTTGATATCTGAATCTGCCTCTCAGGGATACCAGGCTAATCAAAATTACATCTAGAAAATGAAAAATATACTGGGAATTAACTTCATTCTGGAGTTAGATTATGGTGGTGTTATACAACTCTGAATGTAAAACTACTGAGTTAAGAATAAAAACAAAAACAAAAAGGAAAAAGTTTTAATTAGAAAAACAAGAAAATAGGGGAGGGTGTAGCTCAAGTGGTAGAGCATGTGCTTAGTATGCACGAGGTCCTGGGTTCAATCCCAGTGCCTCCTCCAAATATAAATGAATTAATAAACGTAATCACCTCCCTCTCATAAAACAAAAAGAAAAGAAAAAAGTTAATTTTTTAATAAAAGAAAAAAGGAAAAAATTTAAAACCTACCGAATTATATACCCTTCAAAACTACACTTTTTGATATGCAAATGGCATCTCAGTAAAGATGCCACTTAAAAAGTGAGCCAATATATACAGTATAGATAAACAAGGATCAGCTGCAGAGCTCAGGTAACTAGATTCAATTTCTTGACATAACATAATTGAAAAGAATCTGAAAAAATATATATGTATGTAGATGTATAACTGAATCAGTTTGCTGTACACCTGAAACTAACACTGTAATTCAATGACACTTCAATAAAAAATAAAATTAAAAATACTTTTCTTCAAAAAAAAAAGTGAACCAAGATGAAATTAAAAATTGAAATAGCCCTGTATTACATAACTTGAACTTACTGACAAAAACATTCCCACAGAAATCTCTGGGGTCAGAAGTTTCCACTGGTCAGATTAAAACGACAGTGAGGCATCACCTCACACCAGTCAGAATGGCCACCATTCAAAAGCCCACGAACAATAAATGCTGGAGAGGCTGTGGAGACAAGGGAACCCTCCTCCACTGCTGGTGGGAATGTAGTTTGGTGCAGCCACTGTGGAAAACAGTATGGAGGTTCCTCAAAAGACTAAAAACAGACTTACCATATGATCCAGCAATCCCACTTCTGGGCATATATCTGGAAGGAACTCCAATTCGAAAACATACATGTACCCCAGTGTTCATAGCAGCACTATTTACAACAGCCAAGACATGGAAACAGTCTAAATGTCCATCTACAGATGACTGGATAAAGAAGATGTAGTATATTTCTACAACGGAATACTACTCAGCCATGAAAAATAATAAAATAATGCCATTTGCAGCATCATGGGTGGACCTGGAGAATGTCATTCTAAGTGAAGTAAGCCAGAAAGAGAAAGAAAAATACCATATGCTATCACTCATATGTGGAATCTAAAAAAAAAGACGAACTTATTTACAAAACAGAAACAGACTCACAGACACAGAAAACAAGCTTATGGTTAGCAGAGGGGAAAGGCATTGAGAAGGGCTAAATTGGGAATTCGAGATTTGCAGATACTAAGTACCATACATAAAATAAACAGCAAGGTCCTACTGTATAGCACAAGGAATTACATTCAATATCTTATAGTTACCTGTAATGAAAAAGAATATGAAAAGGAATATATGCATGTGTATGTATGACTGAAACATGATGCTGTGCCCCAGAAATTTACACAACACGGTAAACTGACTCTACTTCAGTTAAAGGTGCCAGAACTTGGAGGGCATTATGCCAAGTGGAATAAGTCAAACAGAGAAGGACAAATAAAGTAAGATATCACTTACATGTGGGAACTTAGAAAACAGCAAACTAGTTATTGCACAACAGAAAAGAGAGAGACTCACAGATGTAGAGCAGGAACTCTCAGTGACCAGTGGGAGAGGGAAAGGAGAGGGGCAAGATGGGGGTGGAGGGTTAAGAGGCACAACCATCAATTTGTCCCTGACAAGCTACCAGGATATATCGTACAACACAGGGAATACGGCCAACATTTTATAATAACTGTAAGTGGAGTGCAGCCTTTAAAACTGTGAATCACTGTATTGTATACCTGTAACATATAATATTGTACATCAACTATATTGCAATTTAAAAATATGACATTGTAAAATAAATACATAAGTAAAGATTTTAAAGGTGCCAGAATTTGTTTATTAATCAATTTTTCATACTTAAAAGAAAAGCTAAGCTAGAGATGGAACTTGTCAGGGCGGGCTGGGCTGGGCAGCAGGGACCACTAAGCCAGGGAGCCCACGTGTTCACATCCCACTGCGATGGGCCCGGGCGGCTCCGCTGTAGGTAGTGAGCCCAGAACCCAGACAGCTTCCTTTTTTTTTTTTTTTTTTTTTGGTTTGGGGGTAGGAGTATTAATTAGGTTTGTTGTTATTTTTTTAGGTTAGGAG